CATTCTGAGCATGAAAAGAATTTAAGAATTTACGATCTTCAACCCATTGTCTAGTGGCAGTATTCCTGTAATAAACTGTGATGATTGCACCTTGTTGACTGATAGAATAGACAAGCTAATCTCTTTAACAATCTCATCATTCAACAGTCATCTTGAATAAGGTCTTAAACCCAATTGTGGCCTCTCCTGGTGAAAGATACTCAGTAGTGGAAACAAAGTTCTGGTGTCCAGACACCAGATTCCAACATGGTTTTTTGCTCAGGTGCATTAAACTTGAGACATATTTTACAAAATTTTATGAAACTGTTTTAGCTAATGCAGGGAAGAAATCATCTCACAAATTCAGAGGTACATTCAATTACTTAAACACAGGGGGAAAGATAAGTCTGTGATAATATAAAGTAATTTTCCTGCTCTTCGTTTTGCCAAAGTTCCTTCTTTAGATTATTTTAAATTGTCACAATAAATGCACAGCTGGGATTTTTTTTTTTTTTTTGCCAATGGATATAGAAAATGCAGAGCTACTGTCAGTATATGTTTTGCTACCAGCAGCTCCAGAAACAAGCAAAATCTGAATCTCCCTTGTGCATTTCTGTTCTCAAAAGGGCTTGTGGTACATTCAGAAGACAGTCACTTTGGAAATTGCTGGCCAGAGTAGGTGGTTATCCTGCAAAATTATTCCACATGATTCATCAATTCCATTAGCTCTAAAGTCATAGAAAACAGTGAGCTTCCAAACATTCTCTAATAAAGACAGATATAATGTGTTCTAGCTTCCAATCTGTGTAGTTCCTTGTTTCCTTATATGCCAGGGAGGGTATGTATATTTTCATACATGGTAACTTTCTCTGCCGGTCATCCACAATAAACCAATAAAGTTCTGATTCATGAGTTTTTATTTTCTGGTAAATGTTACTTGATTGTTTTAAAAAGGGGAGTCATTCTGGATTCTTTCTCAGGARTGTAAGAAATTTTTGATCTTACCACTGCTGTCAAAAAGACAGAATTCATGCTTCATTCTGCTTCAAGGAAAGCTGGTGTGCTGTCCAGGATCAATATGAAATTAATATGTCTAAACAAACTAAATTAGTTTGCCTCTGAAGGCAAATCAAACAGGCTTCTGGAGTATCAGTGTCACATAAGTCCCGACACTTGGAAAGTCTGTAGAATTGTTGAGGTGCTGTAGATGAGATGGTGAGGTAAAAGGCAAGAAGGTTTTTAGATGATRGCTGTAACATTTCTGCTGTGTACATGATGGTTACTGTTTGAGGAAACTCAATCACTTTCATCTAAGTTGTGTTGGAAAGATGTTAAATTCAGTGAAGGCGTAAGTTGCCAAACACCAAGTACCTAAAATAAGGATGCAAATCACAATTAGAACAGACTGACCAAGTAATCTGACTGATTGCCCTTTTTTTTTTTCTTTTTTTTTTTCTTAAGAAAAAAAAAGGAAAGGAATAAATGAAACCTTGCAGATGCAGATTAGGTAAAGATTAGTTTGGAATTTCCATCRAGATGTGGGTGTATGATTTTTCTCATGGAAAAAAGTAGCTAAGATTTTTGTGATAGTTTAATTGCATTCAAAACAAGTTGTGTCCTATTAGCTGAAGGAAAAGGAACCTAAAGGAAATTTTGCACAGAATAATTATTAGGTCAATCTGACATCTGTTGTGTGGGAAACTATTCCTTAGGAAAATGTGACTGAATAGCTGCCTGGGATCTCATAAACAGAATTAATCTTAACAGTTTGTATGTTGTCATGATCAACAACAGTGGACAAGCACTAGTATTTAATAGGATAGACTAGAAAATGCATAAGATGGGAGAGAAAGTACAGTACTGCTCTTCTAAAAGAGCTATTGTGATATAACTAACTGGGCAGTTGAATTATTGTATTGGAATAGCACATCTGAGGTGTTGAAACCTGCTTTACATTAAAGTTCTGGCTACCATGGCTTAGCACCTTGAAAAATGTCAAAAATGAAAATAATTCACCTTTATAAAAGAATCTTTTTAATAGAAATATATGCATGAGATTTTTTTTTTAGTGTATTAAACCGAAGATTGAATTTTTCCCAACGGTGTGACCTATTACGCAGTTATGTGATCTGTTTTTCCTAAACCCCTAAATTCTACCTTGATGTATATAGTACCAAAAGCCAAACTTAGTGTAGATTGTTTCCACATTTTCTGCTTCTTTCTATCTAGCATTCTTTAGTTAAGYTTGGTGCCATTCCTGACTGGACATTGTCTTTAATTGCTCTACCAAATACTATGCATATATGCAGTGTGATATACAGATGTCAGTCTTAATTGTACATGTGGTAGAGCTGMAATATTTGCCTGTTAAACTGTAAGCTTATTCTTAACCCCAAATCTTCTCATCGAAAGCTTCTCTTTCTTCTGTGAAATCCATCTGACAACGCTAATACCTGAAGAGAGCTTTTTAAACAGGAATATTTGCAAGGATGTGGARATAGAGTAATTTGCTTCTGTGAGTGTTGGATAGTTGCATGGTTTTGCAAGTTGGGAAAGTGAATTTTGTATAAATTCAGTGAACTGAGGCAGCTTGTTTTGGGCTAGATGAACATCAGTGCTGGCACAGGATTTGAGTCTGCTTACTTGGGACAAAGGGGGAGGAGAAAATGGACTTCTCATTTCGGAGACCTTTAGCCATCATCACGGTGTCACGAAGCTGCTGCCTGAGTATCTTTGAGACCAGTTTTGTTCCCCTCCCAGTTTCCTCTTTTCCCAGGGGTGAGTGTTTACACTCCAATGAAGAAGCCATGGGGATGCTGCAGCTCGTAACACCGGCTAAACCCGAGCGTTGCCGCTCGGCGACCTGATGCGTGCGCAGCACGTCCAGATGGTGCCTCCTGCCCGGCTGCGCGCCCTTCCGAGCAGCACCCATCGCCCGGCTGCTGCGTGACTCGCACGCTGAGTCAGAGTGTCRGAAACCCGGCTTGCAACACAAGGGGCTACCTCAAGTGAGCAGCATGGCTGAGACAACGAAGGAGCCTGTGGAGTGTCCTCCTCGTTTTCAAGGAGGTGCTATTTACGCACACATTAAGTTGTAACAGGAATGATTAGCTGGCCGAATTGCTCAAAAAAACCCAAAATAAATCTACATATATGCGTGCGTGTGCACCTGTATTTCTTCTCAAGAGGTCATCAAATTATTTTTCAACTTAAAATTCTGGAAAGAGTGCAAGAGTTAAATGAGCTAGATTTTCCATACAACTCATCGTTAATAAGGGTATCAGGTACCACAAACAAGTAACCCAGTCTCCTTTAATTCCATGAACCACAATATTATGGAGGAGGATGAGGCAGAGGTGGGCACTTACTTGTGCATCAAGATTGCTTGAATTTGATACCTAAGAAAATGTGAGCTCCAGCTGAAAGATTTCTTGTGRCTGTAGCATTCTTATGGGTTCTTGCACAAATGCATGTTTTCTTTCAGTTTTGTTTTCCTTTCCCTCCGCAGTATTGACACTTCTAAGATCTCTTTCCTTTGTCTGGCCATTTTTCACACTCTTTTTTTTCTTTCTTTTTTTTTTTTTTCTTTTGTAATGTAAGAGTATCTTTATATTCAAGAATAGATTTTTTCTGTGAGATTTAATTCCACAGCAAGGTGCTTTTTAGTGCTTGATGTCTCTGAGTGTAATTCAATGTCTGTTACTTAGAAAGCTTCAGCTCTCATAGGTATAGAACTTGGTTTACAAACAAGAAATCATGCGTCTGTACTTCGTAAGCAGAAGTTATGGCATTTAAAATACAAGAGGTATGCAAATATGGGATGTTCTTTCTTCAGGCTTATTGCAAAGTTACCTTCATATATTAACCGATTCCACTTTTTGACAGAAACCTGGTCATCAGAATAATTTGTTGTTTCATTGACTTCCATTGYAGTCAACTCACCGAAATTAATCATAAAAAAGTATTGTACTTTATATAGTCATTGTACAGTGGCGATACAAACACACCAAGCTGGTATTAGCAGTAGTGCACGTCCTGTCCGTACATGTTCTTGGGCCTTAAATTCTGCAATTCCAGGAAGGCAAGTCAAGACATTCCTGGTTCCTGGGGTCACACATTTTCATTTACTCCTATTAAAAAAAAAAAAAATCTGACCTTAACACTTTTTTTTTTAATGTAATTTTTTAATGTAATGTGAATTGCCATTTCACTGAACCAACTTCTAAATGTATTAACAGAGTATTTCATACTTTTCCCTCTCCCAAAAGTTTGCTTTTTCTCACCATCAAGTCATAAACTTTGAAGTGAAAGCATTGACATACTTTTTATTTTATTTGTCTTCAGAAATACTACATAATATTTTAGTCTGTGCTCTGTTATGGTACTTGTATTTATTATTACATACTTAAACTACTGCATGAAATAAATGTATAAAAATATGTTTGCATTTAAGAGAACAGAACATACTAGGATATATATATCCCTGTAATTTGTGTTTTTACTGTGCTATACCAGATGACATCAGTGAAGTTCTTATAGTCTAAGGGGCACAAGGGTTTTTTTCCACATTCAAAGAGGCAAACAAGAATAGCTTCTTTGATCTTTCAGATCAGTAAGTCCACTGGCTTACTTATATGAGTAGGAAGTTGGTGACATATCCTTGGCAGGGCCTTTACTTCTCAAACTGAGAAATTGTAGTGTTTTTCTTACGAAACTCTTATATAAATACAGGAGTGTTAATTGGGGATTGCTAGTGTAGTCAGTGCATGAATTGACTTAGGAAATGTAGGAAATAACTGTGTTCTTAATACACAAATTCTTAATACACAATACACAAATTCTTGAATCCTAATGTTAAACTGCCCCTAGTTCTAAAAGGTGGATATTTCTATTACTTTATGTAAATGTATTAGGAAAGTTTGGTATACCAGCCCTAAAGTTGTTTGAAGTACAATATTGTGTTCTTCATTCAATCTAGAAGATTCCCAGATTGCCTAATTGTTTGTTTTGTTTCCTCTTAGATGAATCGACTCCTAAAGAAGTCAGCAGGGTAAGTGCTACTTAGTTTTCTCTCCTCCTCACAAGAAACAAATGTAAAGCCTCTGAGGMTCACTGTTCACTTGAGATTGATTTTCATGTAATCTCTGATCAGGGTTTTACTCCATTCCCTTTGCAAAGTGGGTCTCCAGAGAAATAGTTGGTGCTGACTCCAGAGCAGTTAATAAAGAAGGAAATATTAAGGACACTTCATTGGCTGTAAATATTGAAGGCTATTTTTCATTAACAAATTCTCTCAGAGTTCTCTCAGAGTGATTTTCATGGTCCAGTTTTAAAATGGTGCTTCATGGAAACCAGGAAAAACRTGGGAACTCTGAGTTGAGGCATAACTCTGGCCTATTTCCATCAGCTTTGCTACCTTGAGAGAGGACAAGCATAACAAGAGGAAACAAGGGAAGAATTGTGTCCTCTCTAATTAYTCCCTTTGAGGTATACTAGGGTACTGATGAGCTACTTTAATGCAAAGTATTTTGCTGTCTACTGCATGAAATCTAATGTAAAATATTATTGGAAAATACACTCAGCAATAGATTCCTGACTTTAATATTATATCTGATTGATGTCCTCTACRGAATCAGTTTGTGATTAAGGGCTATATGTATCTATTAGAAACTAGTATCTGTTGCCCTCTTAATACATTCATTCAGAATGAGGAGTCCATATATATATGTATGAGTTCATGTAAGGAGAATATATAGGAGTCCATATATATGAGTTCATGTAAGTTTAGTGGGCCACTTGTAGCATTTGGGGGTGGAATCACAGTTCTGGTTTTGTTCCCTTTCTTCAGTTTTATGCATAAATTATTTTGTGTTCTCAGGAGAAATGCAGCGTTGTCAGAATAGGATTAAAAGTAAAGTTTGTTGAATGTCTGCAAAAGCAGACTGAGTTTCTTGCTCTCTGTGGTGAGTGTTTTGGGAAGATACTAGGACATGGAAGGAATGGAAGTAGGCTTATAATAGAAACCTTGGCATGACAGAGGCTTAGGATATAAGGAAACTAAGGGTTACCAACCAGAAAGAGACTCAGTAACGCCTAGAAGGAGTTAATGCAAACAGATGCATTGTATGTGGTGTATGTGGTGTGGCATTGTATGTATGTGGTGTGCTGAAAGTGGYTCTTAAAAAGGATTTGAGATTTTAGATGATTTTTTTCCTTTATAATGCATTTTTGGTCACCCTTACCAGTTCCTTAATATTTAGCAGTTATGGCAGGTAAGTGCCAAATAGTGCAATCAAAATTTATTATAAATTATATATTCATATTATTCATTAACAATATACTGTTTTGGTTCAAAATAAGYATCTACCAAAAATAATCTCAGAAGCCACTAGTTATGTCTGTGGAAGAAAATTCCTTTTAATATTTGCATAAATCTGGTAAATATATCTGCATTTCTATGTAAAACTCTAAAACAGAGTTGTAAAACATATTCATATTAAGAAATCTGAGCTGCTGATGCAAGGAAAGAAAAGAAAAAACATATTCTGGAACTCTSAATCTCCCAAATTCTAGTCACCCCCTCTGTCTTTCAGACACACTAGTCCCAGCTACCTCCAGCCTTTCAAAATCATAAGTGGTAGCTGGGACTTTTCCTGAAGATTGGCTGTCGCTTCAAATCTTGAGATATTAAGATACAAAACTCTCTCTTTCACTTACATTAAAATGAAACATTCATGATCATATGCTGTGACATCACTTGCTTCAATACTCCTGTTCTGTTGTGCTGAAAGATAATTAATTGAAAGGGATATTTTTCATTTAAAACCACCAGCACTGCCTCCCTCAATCCTCCTTGCTTTTTTTTTTTGTTTTGTTTGTTTGTTTCACACATATTGCATATCATTCTAATATTGTTGTACAAGCTCTAAAGGTTGCCTGTCATTAGCTTGCCTTTTTTTTTTTTTTTTTCTCCTTTTTATCAGCCAAATGCAATGTTATGAATGGTATCTATCACTTTGGTTTAAAATCTTTTACTTCTTGAATTATTGGAATAAATTTTAAGTGTTGTCAAGGGATTTTATTGCTGCTCACATGTCAAAAATTGAGAAACTTCTGATGAATGCTGTAATACATGAATTACAATCTTTGGCCACTTTTCAGAAGCTTAGTAGCAAAGTGAAGAGCGAGAATAAAATGAAAATAAAAGTAACAATCTTGGACATTAGTATTTTAATGATTTGGGGGGATAAAAAAGTGAAGGAAGTGAAGCTTTCAAATTTCTTTCACTTTGTGATTTGTAGAATAGATTTTTTTAATTGATTTAATTCATTTTTCAATTAAGATTATTGATGGCAATGTTGGCAATATCTTGGCTTTCAGAAGTTATATGTAAACATATCCTAGAGTGGCTTGACATAATTGATGACCAAAAGGGGGATCAAAAATGGATTCCCTGGTTGCTGTGGGCTGCTTTTAACATGCAGAGAACATTTTGTCTGGTTACCAAATGTCTCATAAGCAACTGTGACTGAACAGTAAACCTATGAACTTCTATCTGTAAGCTAGACTATAATATTTATGAAATATGTGTACCTTGTGAGAGCCTTTTTCATATGTTGAAGTAGCATTGGGAGCGTCCTTGGAAACGCTGAATATCTTCTGCTTACTTATTTTGCAGATGTGGGTTGGCTGATCCCACCTAGCTACAGAAGTGGTTTTCTGGGCAGAGGAATTTCAGAAAGAAAATCAAATATTAACCTAATGCTGACTTTTATGCCCTATCATGTTTTATATCCGAAAGGACAAAAAAAATAGAAGAGTGGATTTGAGCACTAAGTGCATTTGGATGCATGTATATCTAGAATAGGAGATGTTTATTTCACAGTATTTATGAAATGTCGTGCATTGAAGACATATTATTCCTTTTTAGTTGGCAAAAATAATCCCATTTCTACATGAACTATAGCCAGGATTTTGTTCTACATGCTGTTAAGTTTCCCATGATCACTGTGTGCTCTTTAGTACCTCAGATTTTGAAGTTTAAACAAAAATACTCAGTGTTCCTGATACGATCACAGCGAAACTAGCTGTTGTTCATTCCCTGTTGTTAATGACTTTCCATTCCATCTTTGCTTGAACGAAACCTCTAGCGAAGTTGCATTTTGGCAAGTACTTTTGCTTTGTAAACTCCGGTAATGCCAACAGCAATTCACTTTGCAAAAGTTTACCATATAAACACCAGAAGATTATTACCTAGCAAGTGCCTAGCACATTTACAGTATTTTATTCTTGGAAACAGCAGTAATACTTTAATCCTCTCCTTTCCCCTTTTTGGACTTGGAGCTTTTGGCAGCTCCCTTGGCACCRGCTAGCACCCAGCACAGTATGTCACTGACAGTTACAGAATTAGCAAGTATATTTTCAGTAAATAGCTGCAATAATTGCATGTCTGTTCACTGTGTGACCAAYGATAAAAGTTTTTGATTTTGTTTTTTTTTTAATGGCATGCTAGCAAAGACAGCTCATGCTTTGTACTGTTTATTTATCTAAAATGGGATATAAACATTTTCATACTGTCCCAGGACTGAGTATTTTTAATGAATTAATCAATTAAGAGAAGGCAAAAAACRTTTAGTCTTTAGAAATGATATAAATACCACTGCAGTCCTTATCTTCAGAAGATGGTGTTAGTGTGATAAGCTGTAGCAGTAGATAAATGGAAAAGTTGAATTTTTATACACAATGTGTTCAGAGAGCTTGTAAGTCAAGTATTAGGAGGGAGTGTGATGTCTATAAAAAGCTTTTTTAAAAAGAGCACTGTTCAGCCCTGCCAAGTTAAAATGAAGCTGTTAATTGATGTTATCCTTTTTTATTGCATAATCCAGAGAGGTGGCATAATTGAGATACTCATGCAGTTTTATGACCCTTACATTTAATAACAGCTTATATGATTTCTTCTGTGTAGTCATAATGTTCTGTTCTTGTAAGCCAAGCCTCTGCCTTGTCTTGTGTATTTTTCCTGTTACTAGTGAAGCAATTTATTTCAGTGTTACTGTAGGGAAGGAATAGTAGGGATAGTAGGGAAGGAATTGATGGAAAGATTAGAATTGGATGCCTGCAAACACTGGCTATGTGGTAAGGAGTTTCTGCTCAAAAAGTGTTCTTCCTCCCTCCCAGGGCTTGAAAATCTGYTCTGTAGCCAGGCTGGGAAACATGCACCTTCAAAATGCATGCACTCTATCTCTGTGGAGTGAGATCTGTTTTGCATCCTTTGACATAGCAACAGARCCAGTCCTGCCAAATGTCATTTTGTATTTGTCCCTTTTGGTTTTGTCGTGAATAGCGTTTGATGTGGGAGCAAACAATTCATAAATACCTGTGTATGGTGCTGCAATGCTAAAATTTATTTACTGAGCAAGTTAAAACCCGTGTCCTCTCCAGTCAAAACAAGAAGAACAGACGTCAGACAAGTGCGTGTAGAAGCAGTTTTCTCTGAGGCTATGTACAAGCATTAAAATTAATCACCTTAGCAAAGTCTGCTCTTCATAGCTTCTTGCTTTGCAGTGCCCAAGTTTAAACAAAACTGCTTAAACAAGCCAGCCCTCCTTACCTCTTCTGAATTTATCATCAAGGAGATTTTTCTCAGCTTCCCCTCCAAGCTCACGACTCTTTTGAAAGCCAGCTCAGTGCTTGTACCCTTACAGAATATTTATTTAAGGTTGGAAGGGACCTCTAGAGATCATCTAGTCCAACCTTCCTGCTCAAGCAGGCACACCTAGAGCATGTGGCACAGGGTGGCATCCAGGCGGGTTTTGAAGACCTCCAGAGTAGGAGACTCCACAACCTCCCTGGGCAGCCTGTTCYRCTGCTCTGTCACCCTAACAGTAAAGAAGTTGCTCCTCACCTGGAGACGGAACTTCTTGTGTTTCAGCTTGTGGCCATTACCYCTCGTCCTATCGCTGGCCACCAGTGAGAACAGCYTGTCCCCTTCCTCCCTGCATKCTCCCTTYCTGAACTTATACATATTAATCATATCCCCTCTGAGCCGTC